ATGTTTTGACCCCTAAACCTCCCCAAACCCTCATAACTAAACCCTAATAGAACATAGTTAACTCAAACATAAATAATATAAAGAAAAAATAATTTTGAAAAAGTGGCATTTTTGTAAAGATTTTAAAAGTGTGGCATTTTTGTAAAGTGACATTTGAAAAGTGGCATTTTTTGAAATTTCTCAAAAAAATTAGTCTTTTCTTTTAATTTTCCCTTGATTTTTTTAATTGGGTATTTAAAAATCAAAATCAATCTAAGTTTGCTCATACGTAATTGTAGTATTAAATAACATTATGACCAAGTATATACAAGTATAATTTTCAAACAACCTTAATCTCTAATCACCACGATAATTCTTTAACTTTACTTTATATTTGTATTAACTCACATAATATGTATCTCTTAATTATGTGTATATGTTAGATCATATACAAATTTATATTAATAAACGGTATTTTCTTTATGTATATAACATTGTACATGTCTAATAATTTACTACAATTGTTTAGTCTTCAAACCTAAATAATAATCTACTGTAAACACTAAATTTTTGTAATATTAAATACGCAAATAGTTATTAAAATATAAATTATGGTAAGTTTTACTATATCAATTTCTAAATCCACGCAACGCATGGACAATCTCTAGTTCTCTATACATATAAGTTTAGCTTTGTAATAACTTAAGCTTTCTTCACTCTAAAGTTAGGTTAGATCCAAACTCTTCTCTTGATGTTTTGGATAAATCTTCATATTATCATGCCACTCTAGTGAAAGTTTCAAATCTATCTTTTACCTTTATGTTTATATTTTCATTTTGTTAATGTCTTTCTCTTTGTTCTTCATTATGTGTAGCATTTAGTCTCTCATGAGTTATGGGCTATGTAGATCAGATTGATTTATGGTTGATTGATGATGCTTAGTGTTAGACTAATGTGATTTCCAGTGTAAAAGTCCATTCACTCCCAAAATTTATCTATTTAAACCATTGTCAAAGATAACAAGTCTTACCCATTAAAAAATCTAAAAGAGTAAAAACCTTTCCACATTTGAGAAAGTCGTATTAAAACATTGTCTCAATACATGTTTGAAAAAATAATCTTCAAAGTCTCGTGATGAAAATATTATTTGTATCTCGTTATACAAATAAAGTAGGTATTGCATCAGAGACTCAAAAGAAGTGATTCATCGGGTTGGAGTACGCTATTCTTAGATCTCCTCTGTTCTCGATTTGGAATAGTAGTTATTTGATTGGCATTTATTGTGCATGCATAACCTTGCTTATGAAAAGTTCTTAATGAAGTGAATGTGAAACTTTTGTACAAAATATGCCACATGGATATGGTTCTAATGAATTTTATAGATTTCCATGATATATTTCCACATGGATATGATTCAAATGTCTTTTTAAATGGTTTTTATCATGGGATGAGAATTACCAAAATAAAATATACACTTATGAAGTGAATGACAATAACCTGTATGAAAATAATTTGCTGTAGAATGAAGGCAGACTAATTGAGAAAGAGAATATGCAAAATAAAGGACAAAAACTGCTACATGGATATGATGCATATCTCGTTGTGCTCTTTTACTAAAATCCAGATACATAAAGACATATGCAATGAACTATATTCATCCAGCTGCAAAATACCTCAGAATATTATTAAACTCCAGCTACACATAGAGTCGCAACCATCGGTTGATTAGGGACTTGATCAACCATCGCCGTTGTCACTGTAATTCCATAAGCAACTGCCGCCGCCATAAGCGATTGATTTTCTAGGTTTTTATGGATATAGATATTTTCTAGGTTTTTCTACATAGAGATTGTGTTTGTATTTTGCAAAAAAAGAGTCAATCTTCCTTATACGATCATAACTATCATGGGAAACATGGAGGAAAATTGC